TGGCGGAGAACGCAACCACAGGGCTAATGGACGTAAATCAGCTCTCTTCACTACAAACGTGTGCGTAGTTTTAAACAATTTTCATTAAAAGAATAAAGCCTTCTCCCAAGGTTTTCAATTTTGACTTACTGGAACGTTAAATGATCCTAGGTCGGTCCTAATTTGGATAGTGGTAAGGGCTATGGAGTGGCCACACCCCCTGGCTCGGATCTGCGCGACCGACTGAACCTCGCCGTGCTGGAGCTGAAGGAGATGGACTGGATCGCCCAGCTCTACCGTCTGTGGTGGGAGGAACGAGGAGAGTGCGGGCGGATGTCCACGTCATCCGATGTAAGTGGCCACTCAGCAAACGTGAAGAGGTCGATATTCGTCGACCACTTCCCGCTTACCCCTGACAACGCCTTTCACCAAAATTTCCGTGGAACGTGACAGAAACTGTAGCAACCACTGTCAAAGTCCACTACGGTTAGGAATGAATAGTTTGTAAAAGGAGTAGGCTTGAACATTTTAAAAGCCGTCCACCTCTTGATAACTGCACTGTTCTTTTACGAGGTGTTCTCCTAGGTGCTAAAAGAGCAACTCAATAAGTGTGAACATAAAAAGCAATCGATTATACTTTTAGCAAATCCACCAGACTCAAACACTTCGAGACACGCGTATGTGCCTGACTGTTGTTAGCGTTCTAACACGGTGGTTTTTGAATTGAATCAGAAGAACTCTGGCACAAGTTCGCTCGGAATTGACAGCGTGTACGGACTCTTCTACCTCCTGTCTGGCGCCCTTGTGATTGGAGTGGTGTTGGCCGTCATGGAGTTCGTCTACCGTTGCGCTGTCGACGCCAAACGAACAAAGGCAAGCGATAACTTTGCGCACCTCTTAGAAGACTACTGCTACCATTCTGTTATTTTTAGTAGTAAATCCGGTTTCTTTAAGTCTACACATCACGAAACCTCTTCTCCCATTGCTCACACACCTCTCAAAATCGATTTTGTGAGCTAAATCTGCCTTACAACCAGTTGAGTGTGTAATAAGATTGATACTGGAGGAATTGTAGGTTTGCGTTGAATCATAACCTAAGAATCCCAGGATCATTGTGGATACTTGGAAAAGAATGAAGAGCGTTGAATTTTTCAAGACCTATAAGTCGACTGATTCGCGTCGAAATCAGGAACTGTGGCTATATTGTGCGTCAGTAATTTACTTTATGACCGCCTAACTCCTAGCCAATGAAAATGAACCTTGTGAGTCGCTTGAGTATCGATCGCCGGCAATTCGGCGCGGAAATCGATCAGCATTAGTAGCGACCGTTGCCGCAGAATTATCATTACACTGTATTCAAAAATCCTTAACAAGAAAGCCAGATGTTCACCAGAGCTAAGGACAACATTTCGACGACCGTGTTTCCACTCTGACGTATCCTTTAAAATCGATAAATTGGAGTGTTTCGTTGGAAAGTTTCTTCCCCTGAATTCCTTTTGGGTCTCTGGGAGATCGGGTCTCCTAGTTACGGTTGAATGTGAATACTCTGCAGGTGCAAATTTAACGCATAAAACAAGTTCCTGTCAGACAAATGTCTGTTTAAAATGCAATTAAATTAGACTAAACTTTAAGGGCTTGAAAATTAAACTAACACGCTAACGTCTGGTGATTTACGAATCGTAAAATCAAACACAAAATTCACGCATGAGTAGGTTAAGACATGAACCAATTCTTCCACATTACCCTACACGAGGAAATCGCATGTTATTGAAGTCCGGTAAGGGGGACCATGCTATTAACCCTTTGTCTCCATCACCAGCGAGGCTGATTGATCAGCTTGGCTGCTCACGCTGTGATTGGTCAGTGTGGCGAAAGTCCATCACGCTGCAAACCGCATCAGACATGTGGGGCAATTTCTAAAACACCACCAGATGGTCATCGCTAGTCCCTTTCATCGGTGACTCGTGGATTTTGGCTCAGACTGTTTACTTGCCAGGGTTACTCTCAAGCGACTTCAAATTAAAGGGCATCACGCTTTCCTACTTGTTCTTGGCGCAGATTTTCGTAAACTAAGACCAAATGCCTCGGTACCTTGGTTCTTTTGACTGCTGTCCAATCAAATTCGGAAAATTTCCGGACAACAAAACAGTTCGCTTCTCAAAAACACGCTCCCGAGCTAGTGCCTAGTCACGAAATTTCGAGTCAAATGCACACTACGCATTTCCCATCTGACTAGGTTTGAATGCATTCCAATGCACGAAACGTCCCTTTCACTGCGATGATGAATTGCGACGCTAACTGCCCTCAAAAGAAAAGTCTTGATTTTTTTGTAAAACTCCTGACGGAATTCGAGACGACTTAAACAAGAGCCCATCACATGACTAGTTGATGAAATAATGTCAAGTTTTTTTGGGACAACCAGTTCGTGTTTACAGCTTAGCCTTCTGCTGTTGCGTGACAACGAATGGACAAGCAAACGTGATTTGCTAATGTCGGGCCAGCACTGTGTCAACATGATTAATTAATTAATTAATTCTGAACTTTAGTTTTGATTCAATTGAAAGTTAGTTTTCCAATTTTGGTTGAATAGTCTAGATATTGTGGCGGCTGCAAAAATTCATTTTAAGGATGGAATGTGAAAATTCACATCTTTGCTATGTTTTGTGGTCTTAGTTTGAAAAAAGATGTGTTTTTAATGTAGTACCCGGTGAACAGATATCGAAACCCGATCGTAAGCAATCGATTCCATCGTTGGCACGGTATCGACCACCCATCGCTGGCACTCAAACCGAAAGCGCACGAGTCAACGTCGGAACAAGACGAGATCCCGTTCACGTTCGCTTGCGCCCCCTGAGTGCGGGTGGTAGAAATAGTGCACTTAAGGGTGAATGGACCAATAGGATGAAGGAGGGGAATATAAATGCGAAAATTGGTGTGCATTAACACTGATGATAATGAAAAATAGAAAATCGTGAAAACTGTGATAGATGCAGCCTTGGTGATGCTAGACTCCCAATACTTTGTGTACAACTTAGTAAGAGAGCTTATTTCTATCGTGTTTTTGTCGGTTTCAATTTAAATGATACCCTCTGACATTTACAACACGAATCCTCCGCGGATCGAGTTATTACTCCAGTCGAAAAAGCCGCTTTGCTTAAAACGAAAACGTGTGCGAAGAGGATTGCATCTCAAGCTCAAACACGACCGACGTTACTAGTATGTCTGCAACCCAAGAAATAAACGCTTATGTGTGTTTTTAAAAGCTTAAGCGCATAATCGATAAAATCTATTTTGCAAATAATTTAACTAGCATGTTCAAGCTATGTGTTTATCGATTTAAATACCATTGATCGGACCTGATATTCTTCCGAAAGAGATACTCAATTACCGTAAATACGACTAATAAATAAACAAATATTATTTCCAACTTCCCACGTAAATCCTTTACGCTGCGTAACCCTATAAAACATGCTCTATGACTGCAGAAGTGAGGTTATTAGATGATTTCTCACGGTTTATTCACTATTTAAGGAATAGTGATCAAACTAAACATATTTAAAGGTAAATCGCAGTCAAAATAGTTTTAACATCAAGTAGATGTCTGCGTTGCTTGCTTATTTAAGGAATATGTCTTAAATACTACCTCATATGCCAAAATTAGCGAAGTCAGAAGTTAGGTATCATTAGAAAACATCATTTGGGCGTCAGTTATGATCTATCATGTGCCTTCATAACCTTCCAATAAAGACTACCAACCAAAAAACCGACAATCTAGTTTTTTTAATTTTGACGACTCTGACAGATTCGGACGTGATTTTGCGTTAGTGCCTTTAAAATTTGGACGAGTGAAACGTCACAAAATACCACCGGTACTTTATAGAACATAACGGTTTTCATGTTCTGTGAAGAAATTTCTGGTGGACTAGAAAAAGGGAATTAACAATCGCTGCAAATTTGCATCGAAGGTGCATTAACGTAAACAAGATTGCTTGATTTTTTTGTGGTTACCTTGACAACAAACAGCGTTGTTAGGCATGGGTTCGATAAACAAAAAGCGCGCTGCTTTCGTCAAAAGTTTGCGAAAATGTACATTAAAACAACTTGAGATTTTTATAGTTGGGTGGTCAAAAAGTCCGGCTAGCAGCCTATTTTTATAGGCCGGGAAGTCGCAGCCTTAACAGGGTTAAATTTGTTTAAATTTTATAATCAAATCACGAACAGGCGTAACCTGCAGTGTCTTCCACGCGCATGGATACGTTAAACCACCGCTAGAATTCATATAATGAGGCATTAGGTGACTGCAAAATGTCGTGCCTGATTTGAAGCGATATTTGATACAGCACACTTTGGATGATACGTGCTCAACTTCTTTCCTACAACAGTGGCACAAATGCAAAACTCCGAACTTACCACCACGAGAGCCATCCACTTGTATATGAGGATGGCGGCTTTGAGTGCAAGGTAAAAAGTGCTCTCAAAGGCAAATGGGCCAATAGGAAAGAGGCGGGGGATATGAATACAACATGTGGTGTGCACAAACGCGGTTGATAAAAAGAAGTACTAAGTTGTCCAAAGCTAGAACGAACTAGTCTTGGCAATTCCTTGTTTGATGGAACAGTAGTCGTTTCCTTTTCCATCAAATCAGCAATTTTTTGCCAATCAAATCGCTGTGCCGAGGATGAACTAGACGGATTTGAGATGAGACTATGTGAGGGGATTACAGCTGGCAAATGTGGAAGGATTTTCATTTTTATCGCCTTGTCTGTTGAGTGACGTGTGGTCTAACGTTGTCGGCCCGAAAGGTTATGCCAAATTAGGGTGAGGTGGTCAAATCAAGACAGGAGAAGTGGTTAAGGACTTAGAAAAAAAGACGCGATTTCAGTAAATCTCACATTTTACTGACGTTTTCTTGTTATGATTGCTTTTGGGGGTGCTGTTTTGTTTTTTCCACAAATGTAAAGCGGCCTTCTACAATCTTTTGGTAAAAACGAGGCTACCAGACCACTTCTAGCAGCATTTACTACGGTCTTGTGACTGAGAAATCAACTATCTTGCTTGTTGTTTGTCATTGTTCCCACATCAGCGCGAATTTGAACAAAAATCTTTCCTCTTTTATTCTTCTCTAGTAATACAAACACTTATTCTCATGTCATGGAAAATTGGCTGTGCAGTGCTTAATTTTGCCCAAGGCAAACTAAAAGTCCATATTAAAAGGAACAAATTTGCTTTTTCTAAACTAATTTTAAATTTACTCCCACCCTTACCTAGGTGTTTTACCGTTAGAGAAAAATAAAGTCTGACATGAGGGCGTGAATTGGTTTGATGCCATTGGAGCACTAGCTAGTCCACATTAATTAATCGATAGCACTGGTACCGCCGATGGTAATCTGTACCGGCTTGCTTGCAACTACGACAGTTTCTTAACAGCGAACATGCAAGAGTGCTCGAGGGAATATCGATCGACAACTGCAATCAATAATCAATGACATTCAGTCAACTACTGAGCAGGCCGCTAGTCACACTCGTTCATGGCTATTTTGTCGTTAACAAATCGTATTCTTTAGCTCCATCCGTGATAATATGAACTTGAAGTCAACAATTTTAAACGCTAGATCCATTCATGCGTAATGGCACGTGAGTAGAACACATTTCCGTACCTTAAAATGCGGTAACTAAAGGCTACCTGCCTGGGTGATTTTGCCATTTTGGTTTGACTATAAGATGCATTTTCGGCGTGAGGAATATATTATTTCGATCACGCTAAAGGGCGGTTTGTTGGTTCTATCGGCATATTGAGCACATAGCTTACAATTACACATGTAAAACCGTTAGCATTAATCATATGCTTAAGTGCAATGCCACAATGTAGCTTTCTTGGAAATTATTGTTATTGGTAACTGATCTTTTTAATGAAATAAAATGGTTACTTGAATTCTCTGACGAAAATGGAATGAACACAGGGGTGTAAATTTAGCCCTCATTTTACAAAACCAAAAAAAGGATTTCTAGCCGACTAGCGAACACTGTTACCAGTATAAAATATAGCCGAAAATGATGACACAAGTGTTTGTCTTAATTATTAGACATCAGTAAAACAAATTTTAGGCTAACGTCTATTTTGAGCATGTTAAAAAATTACACAGAATTACTGCTGTTATTATGGTATAATAGGAATCTAAACGAGCATGTTGTGGACATTAAAACCGGTGGTTACTAGGGGCTCATCACCAATGTAAGCCTCCGACTTTTTCAAAAAAATTGAGGAAAATTTAAGGGCGGCAAGTTTCAAGCATCCAGACTAGTGACGATGCATTTATTTTCAATAAACCTCTGCAGACACAGAGAAGCTCATTCGAACCGTGAAAATGTGCGATTCATATGTAAAAGAAATTGTCTGAACTGCATTAACAATAGTTGTTGAACTCACTAGTTCTTGGTGCTTGCAAAGCTTCAAGGAATCTGGCTGTTCCCGAAGTGGATTTTGACTGCTCTGGTCAATTTGGTGATCTCTAAAGCTAGTTTCTTGAGGTGTCAAAACCCTAGTACTTCCTGCGATACATGTAATTGGTCTATCAGTGACTTCTAAATGACGCATGTGAGGAGGCAACCGTACATAGGAGCCTTTTGTTGCTGATTATAGCGAAGCTTCGCCGAGGTGTTCTGTGAGATGGTTCGTCACGCAGCAGGCAGCAGTCGAGCGCACCTGAAAATTCCGATGACCTTCCGAGCGTCGTCTGCGAAGGCCGCGGCAACAGCACCAGACAGCAACAATCAACCCCACGACCTCTCCACCACTGTTCTCACCTGCGACAACACCAACGAAGACTCACCTGGGCGGCAGAACTTTGTGCAACACTTCTACCCCCCCGCCACATGGCGGGGCAGGCGGAATGAGTCCCAGGAACGAATCAATTATTGTCTGTGAAAGTGTTATCCCGACTACTCGGTCTTAGTTGCTCCTCATTCGTCGTTGTTACTGTGATTCGGCCATTCGGAATTTGGTTACAACGTTTGATACGGCCATTGAAATATCTGAGTATTTGTGAGGATCACAATTTGTTGGACCACTTATGTACACTTTTCAACTCCATTTTTCTCTCCATCATAACAATTAAAACTATATTACTAATTTCTTTTGCTCATATTAAGTAATATATTTGCTGGCCTGGGTGTTTTTGAAGATTTGTGGTTCGTGACGATCATGAAGGTGCCTTGTTTAATCGAAATTGAATGCGTTGGCGGGCTTTGAAACAACCGTTTTGACCTTCCTTTTATGTTTAACCTAAAAAACCACAATTAGTGCAAATAAAGGTAACTGATTTGGATTTTTTCAGGTAAAATTAGGAAAAATGAGACTAGCGATGTCGGTTTTACGCAGATTTTGAATTCGAAACGTCGACTCACCCTGCACCAATGCTATGTATAATTGCATGTGAGAGTCTTGTCCGCCGATTGTTCTCATTGGTGTTACAAATGTATTCTTTATTCTATCCTTATGGACATTCCAATCTAGGTATTTGGGATCTAACACAGCGAACCAACTATTGAAGTATTGTCGCAGTGATAAAGCTACATTGCATCAGTTTAATGAGAAAGCCATATTGACACAAGTAAGCGAAAGGCAGAGGAAGACGTGGTTGGTGAGGATCGATTAGCTTGGGGGTTGAGCGCGAGACACAAAATCCCCTTGTGAAAGGTCGTGAGATGTGTTCAAGGTCGAGGCCACCAACTGTTGTGGTCTTGAAGCAAAGTGAAGTCATTACAAACCTGATGAGTTGGTAAATCATTATGATCCCAGGAAGGGAATGCGTCACAATGCTTATCGTCCAAGTCTATTTCCCTACTTCACGTCTGCACATTCCGTTGAGGAACATGGAGTTTAGTTGGTAAGAACCATGCCAATCGCCTGACCGTCAGCATTCTAGCAAGTGAAGTGTTCCTAAATTTGATAATTCGGGAACTTGTTAAACAAATCTTCCTTCAAGCGCCAGGCACTTGACACATTGTCATATCAACTGACAAACAAAGTTAAAACAAAATTTACTACGGATTGCAACACGTCTAGTAAATATTCCGGTGATATCTACGTTTTTGTATAGGTTTTTTTAGCTTAGCTAAACAACCCAACACGAATTCACTGTACTTGCCAAATCATTCGTGAACCACGTTGCAGGATTTTGAAATAAAACAGTATGAAGAACATCCATGGACGTGATTATAGCGACATTTTTGATGCTGGTAAATAATTAAACAAATTCTGCATATTTAGCACATTCTTGCAAATTACAACATCGATTTTGAGCATTTAAAAATTAAAACAAGTATTTAAAATCGATATTTTGCTTTGCGTTAATTAACTTGAAAAAAACAACATAGTGAGGATCAAAACCGACTTGAATCCGAAGGGGTTTGTCAAATGTTTATAAGATGGATATGCCGTTTAATAAATTTGCGTTTTTAAATATAAAGCAGTAAATATCATTGCTAATAGGAAAAAAACATTCTTCGATTTCGAACCGCTGGTGTCAATTTGGAGTAAATTTATCGCACTTTTGTTCTGCAGTGAACTTTTATCAAACGAGCGTGAGTGAAGCTTATTCGCAGATTATTCGAATGTCATCGATTATCGATTTCAGTTGACGTTCAATATTCACTGACGCGTTGCGTCATAATAGACTTGGTGGGTCAACTGTCATTTTTAACATAATCGGTCTTGCCTCGCTTCTCAGGTTGTTGCGGACTGTCGACTAGCAGTGTTGCAAGGTGGTGCTAACGAAGCCTCTACAAATCCGTTTAGGGTCGAATTTCCGTAAATGAATATCAGCAACAGGGAAACGCGTGTCGATGCAAGGATATTATCACGAATTTGCTTAGCCCCACCGGTGTGTGGTTTTAATGAGAGTTGATGTGAAATATCAAGAGCGTAGGGAGTAATGTCGTCATTTATAAAGTGTGGAATTAAACACACCTCAGCATCTAAATTTTGCAGTTATCTGAGTTTTCAGTAAAGCTCAAACACGACGTGACACACCAAACATGTAGAGATAGGATAATTCTGAGTGTCTGCTAAAAGAGAGGACAAGAAATATTAAATAGGAACCATTTATTACAAATTAGCGTGTCAATCTAAGTGGAGTCTGGTCATCAATAGCATTGATTATCCATTGACAAATTGTAAGCAGCTCTCAGAATGAGTCAAAGTTAAGATAATGGATAAATCTGGGCTACGATAATCAATGTTGCGAAAGGCGCCACGATCAGTTGCAAACTCGAATCAGGTAACGCTGGCGACCACGACAGGCTATTGGCTGATTTAAAATCACTCTGTAATCAGTCACCTTACCATTTCCCACCATGAATTATCAGCTAATGTTGCAGGAGAAAAAAACTTCTAGAAGTTTGCACAGCTCTCCTAAAAACGAAACCAGCACAACTGACGACTGCAGCTCATCTTGTATCCTTCTGGCGCCGTTTAAGTAAGTCGGTTTGTGTTGCGCGCGCTGAAATGTCTACGCTGTTTTTCCTTCATAAAATATATTGCTTTTAGACCAGGTAAAAATGAGTACGAGGTTAAAGATAACTTCCACTTAAACAAACTGCCTCGATGTCGACTAGCTGCTTCAGCTCGATGTTTGCAATGCGTGATTCAAAATATGGCGCCATTTATAAAGCGCATATAGGTTTTGTTTTAATTGGACAGGAACCAGCGCTTTGTCACTATCTGGTCTTGGTAGCGGGACCAGTCAATTGACGATTATCGGTCTCGCGGTTCTTGCAAACAAAGAATTCATTTAAATAGCACAAGGAGCCAATGAGGAGAGGCTAAGCAATTTGGATTATTTCAAGCCAAGCAAAGCTGTGATGTCGAAAGTCTTCACGAAATAATGGATACCTACTTAATAGGATAAAACTAGTAGCAGTTTAGGTTTTGCTTTATTTTTCAGGGGTTTTCAATCATCCTAATTTTTTAACCGAATTAAAATGCTTTCTGTACAAAAATTGATTGGCTGTTTATTTTCGAAACTACAAATATTAAAATTTCTTAAGTGTGCAACTAGCGTTGACCTGTTGGTCGCCACCAGATCAACGATTAGATCTAATTGTGATTGAATTGAAATATTAAGCAAGTATTGGACTGGCATGTTCATTAGGTGTTTCAAGATTTTTAAAAATATAACGGGAAATTAATGCGTCACGCCTGTAATAAAGACGAGAGTCGGCAACATGGTGTATCAAAAGGTAGCAGGTAGGATACAGCGTTCAGGTAGCACACGCAGGTATATATTAATAGTCCACAAAAAGTCTACAGACATTTGCGAAACATTTTCAATACAGACGCTTTATTTGAAAGTTATGACGCAATTCTTATATCAGGCACTGCTTGTAAACTTTTGAATGATCCTGCAAGATAAAATCTACATATTAAAATTGCGAATAATTAAAAAAATGGTTCAAAGGGAGTTTGAGTCAAGGATGCAGAAATTTCGCGCCATTCTGACGATATCAGCCGCATACGCGGAGGTTTCGAGGAGCGCTTGTCCGTGTCAAGGTCATCGATTTGTTGCAGTGCGATACTACTAACACGAAACTGAGAAAAATTAATGAAACTCGACCGTTTACTGGGCAGCCAAGTCAAAGCCTGTATTAGAGTACAAGTTGTAATCGTGCTGACTCACGTGGTCGCATTCAACGCCACACGGACCTCCTTTTCACAGCGTCTCTATCAATCGTGGGAAACCGTCTGTACGTGCACCTCCATCATGCCATTCGGGAATTAATACCTTTCATCTAGATCGCGTTGATCGACAACCCCGTTATTCAGGTACGCCTACGTCCAGTGGCCCGACTAACGCAACTGAGTTGAGCTGTCTTGTAAACGGTCGTGCTTCTGCCATCTGTCGCCTTCCGCTTGTCTTCTCTGGCGCAGGACCGCAGGACCATATGTCGAGGCACATAACAACTAATGACATCTACAGAGCCACACAAACCATTTGTAAAAAGCCCACAGAAAACAATGATTTGCGTTCATGCTTGCTACCTTGTTTTACCTCCTAATCATCATCGAAACGGCTGACCTTAAGTGGGTTTCGAACATACTGCTGACTCAACGTGATGCCGATGGCGTGGTTGTGTGGGGCGTGCTCATAGCGTTATAAGGCCTCTGTTTATATTGGAATGCTTGAAATTGAAATTGATCTCTGGACGAACATCGCTGTGTGAAGTACACTCAAGGTAATCGTGTTTAGCGTCGTCGTTGCGTGAAATGATTTCAAGATTATGGCTTCCTAACATTGTCCGCTCACTGATTCTGACAATGCCATCCATGATTTCTGAAAGCCGCACTTTCATTGTACAAGCACGCGTGTTCTTCTTCTCTCCGATGCTGTACTATGTGTAAACAAACGCCAACGATGAAACAATAAATTGCTGAAGAATGCCACCTTAACCCGGGCATCCTCTTCATCCATACTCGTCCCTAATTTGACTTTACATAAATAGTTTATTTGCAAATCATTTGAGGAGCGTCCTTATTAATTACCAGCGCACAGAACTAGGTTTCAATTATCTGCTGTAAACTCAGCCTCTCTTAACTGGTAGGTGGCTGTTGAGTTTATTTCCTGACGGATTCCCAGGTGGCTTTATTTGAGATTAAGTAATCCGCGATCAGATGACACAGCGTTGTGGCAAGCCTCGTATGCAGTGTTTTCCATGGTTAAAGAATCTTGCTGCTGCTTTACTTAAAATAAAATCCGTTCTTTTCCTTTCAATTGGAAGAAAAATTAGTGCCGTTTTCCAAAATCAAACATTCAGTCAATTCTTCTCCTAGCCTCTACTCCACAACTCATTTTGCATTTAAAAATATTATCAAGTCGGGAGATCTGCTTGTTGCACGTGAAGCCAATTCGCCAGTGCCCTGTCAGTGCCAACTAAATTATTATTTTGGCACTAAACTGAGTGCCAAATGGTTGTTCCTGTCTGGACCTGTGGCAAGTTAAGCCTGCTAAAGCCTCAAATTTTTTTGTTTTAATTTAATACGTCCATTACAAATTTATTCGATTATTTCATTGGTGCAAAATGCTCAGTCTCGATGGCATTCCAAACCATCGGTAAAACCACAATTTTTTAGATGGAAATCCATATCTGTAGGTAAATCTTCCGACTGCATTTCTGTTCTGTGGATTTTTTGTGAGAATTCGACATAAAACGATTTGAGAAAAATACGTGTTACTCTTTTTTGACACGGCTTACCAACCAAGTCACTCATTCGGTGACAAGAGTGTTTCTATAACTACTTGTGATTTTGTGTTAACCCGGGGATGGGACTTGGCCATTCCCAGTGCATGCCCATGGATTCAGTGACTAAGGGCGTTAGCCAAATAAAAATTCCGGAATCAATTTTAATCGTGTCAAAATTGACTAATTTCATGTCAGTAAGTCCGCAAGATGCTTAAATGCCACTATCCTTGGCATGTGATCGTGTCAGCGTAATCCTACGCTAAATGAAGCTACCAATGGCTTTGCACCCATTGCTTGTTCACAAGTGCGGTAAGTTGTAGTAAACACCACTTTAAATATCACTCAGGAAACCGCGCAAAGCAGTCGAGCAAAACGATTGGCTTGGTTCGATTGTTTTAATTCTTCACGTGCGCGCGCAAAAAGCTGCTCTGGTAACGCTGAAAGATTTATTTAATTAAAGTTTAATCTGCCGTAGTTAATCAGGAAACACCGTTTTGCATACTTGAGACAACTAATACAACACTAAGGTACATCTCTCTGGATCATCAAATTAATTTTATTCTTTCCGTTGCTGTTTTTCTTTTGTTTTATATCTTACTATCAGAAGAGCGTCATTTAAATGTGTATGACACAGCGTCTACCGTAGACAAAAGCTCCAAGACTGTGTTTTGCAGAGAAGAATGTTTTATCTCAAAAATTACAGCTTGAGAGGAAGGTTTTGGCAGCTGATTTGAGACGAAGATACCGCAAGACGATGGGAGCCTCCTTGCACGTCTTGTAGGCGATCTCTAGTGCGTTGATACCGTCCACAACGAGGTCGATGCGGCCTTGCAACTCGGTGTTTCGATCGCGCATACGTTCCGTCTCTCTAGCCAGTTGCTCGGTCGTGAGAGCTTCAAATTGAAAGGAAAAACACGCATTGTTTTGCATGAAACACACACGGAAAATGTGTAATTTTGCGATATTCTGCCCAGTGTTTATCATTTTAATGTACCAGAGCAGGAAATTCCAAACTCAGCAGCCAGTTTCTGCGAATCGCAATCACTTAATTCACCTTTTTTGACCATCAACGAATTAAGCCAAGCCAACATTGGTTAGTTTGACGGTTGGATAATGAGATTTCGTTGAGCTCGACAGCCTAGAAATCCCTTGCGACAACCTGCTTGCTTGTCAAATTTTATTAAAAATCAAACTGCCGGGAAAAAGATTTTTGTCTGGTGTTTCCGTCACGGTTTGACGTTAATCCTTGCATTGTCCGACACCTGTGTGCAACCACAAAAGTCAAAGTACAAGCACATTCGGCAATTATCCGGGAGTGAAGTAGGAGCCTACCGTTTAAATGCATTTCTAGAAGGAATTTGAACGAATTTTCAAAGTAGCTAAAAGGGGTTTTGGGGCCATTGTGGGAGGCATTGAAGGTTGTATTTGAAATACAAGATGTTCATCGGATTTTAAAACACTTAAAACACGGACTAATTTGTGTAGCAAAACGATCTTTAGCTTACTAAATCCCACTGCTAGGGCTCATGAATGCTGATTGTTTTTTGTATATTTAAATGCCCATATATTAGGAAGAGAGATGGATTAGTGAGTTTCAGACAGGGCGAGACGTGCAAGTCGCTCTACAAAACTGTTTGGGCTTCTGCTGCATCTGTAAGAATCTCAGTAGGGTAGCCAAGATATTTTAAATTATTCAGGCTGTAGTAAAGCATAAGATTCTACTCCTCGCCTTCTCTGAATGCTAGATTTTGTCCGGAAAACTTTAATTAAAGTTCTTTCATACATAGCCCCTTCCCGATGGAATGTCATCGGATTGTTTTGTTAATTACTGCAACGCAAATGTACTTTTGCTAAACTTCGTAGCTGTCACCTTACCCTAATCCATCCGCTCTGAGTACACCTTGTTACTTTTTAAAGGCCCATTGACACTTCGGCTTCTTCTCGACACGCGTTGTCGTAAATTTTCATCTGACTTTATCGCTTTTACAACTGGTCAATTCGCGGTAAAGGTTGAATAACGTGAAAACTAAGACTGAAAGATACTTCACAGTTGCGCATATTATTCGTGTGTTAAAAATGAAGATATCTCACGTTTTGCCCAAAAAATCACGTATTTGGCAAATTAGATGTAAGAAGTCGTAGAAGGTGTCTGTTCTGTGAATAATCTTTAGATGCAAGCGTAGAATAAATGGTTGATAGCAGCTTGGAAATTTGTGTTTATTTCGTTACGTTATAACTTTTACACACAGCCTATTAAAACGAAACCATCCTCTTGAAAGTGACGATGATTATACCCAATGCTGGTGAGTTTTGTTCAAGTTAATTCACGAATGTTTTTATAGGGCATAGGTGGACGTGAATTCAATCGTTTTTTTGATCGACAACTTTATTTTTGCTTGTGTCTCACACGTCGACTTCCGTCCCGGGAGTTAACTGTTAGTGACACAAGAAAAACACTTTCTCAGTTTATTTTTTGAATTGGCCAAGTTCAGCAATTTAAAGATTGCTATGGTCCAAAAATCAATAATATGGAAATCTGCGTCGTTTCACATCCGGTAGGAAAATTGATCACATACATGTAGAAACACGCTCTACAAGCGAGGTACTAAGTATTCAGGTTCTTTACAAAGCAGTTTCTTCTGTTTTTAGGTAAAAAAATTTCTGGATCATCACAAAAACCAAAGAATATGTTTCATAAATTTAAACAAGCAAACCAACCCTTATAGCTAGATTAGCTTGATGGAAATGGCTATAAATCTGCCAGAACAAACTGATTAAAATGGTCGTTAGATAACGGAATAGTGTAAATTAAAAGTAGAAAACAAATTTGTTATTTACATCGATTATTGATTTTGACACCTTGTTATGTGACTCATGAGAGTCAATCATAATGGCGCTTCCCATTGAAATTCGATTGATTTATCATTCTTTAAAGGGAAAACGAGTTACATTTCCCTACTCCTCTACTTACGAATTTTAAATTTTCAACTGTGAACATTATTTAGTGTTTAGATCGTCAACAACTTAATTTCCTTGGCTGCTAACACGCCAGAAACGGTGATAGGTTTGAGAGTGGGTTGACTTTTTGTTAATTTTTGAAAAAAAGTTGAATTACTTTCGCTTTAATCGATTCAAACGCACAACACGTGATTTTCCTATTAATGAGAAGAACACTTAATGAAATAAAACACACACATCGTGGCGATGTTAACTGCTCCCGAGGGCATTATTTAATTATCTTAAGAACTGATTTTCAAAATAGGGCAGCAGGTCGCGGGAATTGCTCGCATTTTGGCAAATTTAAACACCCTTCACAATAACTTGCAAGTTAACTTGTTAAATGCCAAAACCTGACCTTATCAAAGTAACGAAGTAGTACCGTTGGTGATCACGCCTCCCATTCTTATCACACCTACAGGCTTTGGCCGTTTAAAAACCTCAATATTTCAATACCATCGTGTTAGAAATCGTGGATTTTGAAACTGACTTACAGTCGCAGATGTTGGTGTGTTTTTGACGCATCTCGCGTTCTCGCACACTGCTCTGAAGCACCTGCCCGCCGGCGAACACGGGGCCACTTTTGCGCTCACCAGATTTCCCCGCGGACGGCATCTGCGCCAACGGCACCGGATCGTTGAGCCTGAGATGAAGGATCAGCTTCTTCACCATCGCCTGAAGGCGTTTGTACCGTCGATATGGATCGATAATGGCCTCCTTGGAGGCCTTGTACTCCTCCTCGAAGCTCTGCACGTAGCCGCGCAGGCGTTTCCACTCGACGTGCAATTCGTCGTTCTCGATGGCCAGTTGCATGTACTTCGGGCGATTGGGGTCGCCCATGGCAGCGCGGAGGAAGCCCTTGGTGGGACCCTCGTCGCAAAAGGCTCTGGACACGCGCCGGAAGCTCTGGGCTGCAGAACTGGCTCTTCGAAGCAAGGAAGTGCCCGCAGACTCGTCGAGGCTGCCAGAGTCGGTCTCACCGCCAGCACACGGACGCAGGAGCGTGGCAGCTGGGACTGTGGTCGGCAGAACGGAGCGTCGACGGTCTTCATGGGGATTATGGTTAGCTATGCTCGATGACATCTGTAGGTGTCTCGGGTGTTATACCTCTTGGAGCCGTAATTTAATCCGCCTCAACTGGCCAATAAACCAGGCCTGTAACCCCATTGGTTGAAATTACGTGAGCGTGTAGAGGCATTACTCGTGAGCGTAGTGGCGGTGGTATTGCGTTTTTTAATGTTTCTTTTATCGCCTTATTTCCCGTTTAAGAAAACCTAATTAAAATATATTAATTAATAAGCAGTTATAAAATTTTTAATCAACATTTTGCACCAGACCTAGATTAATTGGGCATAAATTTAAATGGACGATTCTGGATAAATCTGCAGTTGAATTTAATTTAACACACAGGTTTTTTGTCTTACTAAGTTAAGAACCCGTCAATAAAATAATAGTTAATTATTTTTTGCATAAATAATTTCTCCCGTGGCACTTTCGTTCTAAAAATTCAATGTTAAGTTCACTTTTAAACTAAACTCGGAAAAATCGATTGGCATTAAAGTACCCAATTCGTTTAACGCAGGAATGCGTTAGTGAATATCGACCGTCAACAGTAATCAATAATCAATGACATTCAATCCTCTAGTGAATAAGCTTCACTCGCGCTCGTTCGCAGGCTGTCCAGCTGCAGTAAAAAGGCGTTGCTTTACCAAACAAAATAAGCACAACGGCCAAACCAGGAACAGGTAAAAAAGGGCTATGTAGTAAAACTAAATCTAGCGCTAGTGATTTGCCGAGATTGGTCCGACAACCGCCATTGGTCGCACGCTAGTCCCGCATTATTTTATCATAGATAATAATAATACCTAATTAATCTGAAAAACAGGGGTTACTGTGGCAACAACCTGTCAAAGATCGCGGAGTTTTGGTAAAAATCGATTTTTAGGGGCCTCAAAATACCATTCAACGGGTTCTCATAATAAGTTCCATTTTCTTCAAATTTATGCCTGTTTTTAAATTAAATTTTGTTTTTTCCAAGCTCATAGATTTGAGAAACGATCGATTGCATTAACGTTTCCCATAACTGCCAAGAAGCGGTCAGAAGAAGAAGACTGTTTTCACTTCAAGAAATGCCGTTAGGTAGTCTGTAAGTTCCTCTATTGACTTAACGATATTTTTTTGCTCAAATGGCTTTGTAGGAAAAAAAACCAGCTGAAAATGCGAGTGGACATGGTCACCGGAATGCACAAAATAAGCCCAGGAAGCTGTTCATTTTAATTTCCTGGCAGTTTTTGCAGTTTGGGCAGAAGACTGTCCTTGAGATTAGTCATTTGTGAATGCCTTGGTAAAATTTAAACCTAACCACTAGATATTTCATAAAAATTCCACTCTGTGCGATTCCGCGGCTTCACCTCCATGCCTTGAGTCTCGTTAGCTTGTTCCGTTGTCTAACACAAGTCAGAACTGATTACTAACATTCTAAAATTACCCACTATCCAATTGGTTTTCGACAAAACCAGTGCAAAAACTATTCATATTTTGTGAAAGTAACCGGAAATTTAACACAAAATTAAAACTGGAAAGAGACTTCACTTCTGTTTAACTGGAGATATCATGATGGCATTGCCGAAAAGTAACTAAATTCACATTTTTTTAAAAAAAGCAAGTTTAATTTGTTATGGCAAACTTTGTTTGGTACATTCCACTTTGATACTAGAGAATTAAACGCGACCTTGTAAGGTGAACGTTCTTGCTGTCTTTGCCACAATGCCTAGTTAACACGTGCAATCAACTTTTCCTTGGGTGACCTTGAAACAGAAAACGCGAGATAACACATTTAGAAGAGGGTGAGCCAATAAGATCGTGGCGGTCAATATGAACACAGAGATTATTGTGCGCGGACATAAAATAAAGGCCAAAGTAAAAAAAGAATTGCCAGTTTCACGAAGAATGTAGGTTCGTGATGGTGAAATCTGACGTGCCCAGCACATTTACAAGTTAACTGCAGAATGGTTTAAGAGTAACGCGATTATGGAATTTACCATGGATGCGTGCACGCTCGATTATGAAATCTAAGTAGGCTACATCGTTTCTTTAGGAGGTTCTTAATTTCTTGTTTCGGTATTGCTTGTCTTTTTGATGCACTCTTGTGTTTAGGACATTTCTTTGGTGCTTGTTTTATTTCGCTTAATAGTCAATACTGGAAAAAGCTTGTTTGGAGGTTGTAAAATGGATATTTTGCTGGTTAACTGTAGTCTATATTAAAATAACAATATCGGAAGCAGTTTGGGAACTCTTGTTGAGTTTAAAAATTAATTTATTATTTACTATTCGTTGCGTCTGACCAACTTGTTAGGTTGAACTAACAGAGTTTTTAACCGAAAAATCCGAATAAAAATTGTTGGTTTTTCTCTTTAAGCGCCGTGTTTAGTCGTTTGTTTGTGTCTATAATTACGTCCTCTTCGCTCGCATAACCCTCTGTGATTAATCGGCACACGGTCAATTACCAAAAAAATGTTGTCCTGAAGGGGGCAGCAGTGTGAAACAGGCAGAGGGCCCGTGTTGACAAACATAAAAACAAGCATATGCGCCTATTTTTTTAATTTTATCATTAAATTGTTACAACACTTTGAGTGTCCGCTCGCTGCTACGGCATTTAATGATCGTTTTCTAGCCTTGTAATCATCTAACAGATGTGAAATCCAAGACAACTTCTCCCTGCAGATTTCGTCTCTCAAAGCTGCATTACCGTGTGTGTGAGGAAGCCTTAATTAGCACACTTTTACGACGAATGTACTTCTTCAATTTAGGAAAACAAAACTGATGCTCACTTGGTGTACCAATTATCGAATAGTTTGTCTGCGTGGAAGGTGTTGTGTGCCCCGGAATGTAGTCTTCAGAGATCAACGACGTTGGTGTCGTTGAGTTGTGTGTGACATTTTCACGTGTGTATTTATACCTCAGATGTGTGAGCCATACATGCGCTAACATCGAGACCTAGGTGTGAGGATAATCCAAGAAAATCGTTAGCGCTAATGGTGGCGGGTAGTTGGGACCCGCGCGGCTGGCGACATGCTGCTGAAAGGGGACCCTGTGTTGGAGGCTGGAGTGATCGGATCAGTGTGTGTGAGTCAACGAACTGTTTCTGATTTCCATTATTTGATTTCTGTATAACTTTCCACGATTTGACTTTTTTAAAATAAAATGATTGGAACTTTATAACATGTATGTCAAATTGTCTAGCACCAAAAAGGACGAGGTCCGGTGAATGAATAAGCACGCGCCTTGACCGACTTTGGCACAGATCTCGTTTCTACAGTGGCAACTGCGTGTCGTACTCAATAAATCGATTATCTTGATGTGGCATCGAAAGCCATAGAAAAGGCTTTGCTATCGTTTTCCAAGATCGGGGCCATAACTTTCGTGTGGCAATCAGTTTCTACCAACAGGTGTGCTTTTTATGCACTCAAAGCAGATTGGCCCAATAGGAAGAGAGCGGCCGATGTAAATACAAAAATTGGTGTGCACAAACCGGAATGCCAATGAAAAATAAAACTTATCAAGATCTTGACAGGTACATTTCTGGAGTCCCTAGATCCGCAAAACTGCTTTTAAAAGGTGCAATAAAGGCTAATAGTGTAATATTTGTCATGTCATTTCCGTGTAACTCTTTGTTTTACTATACTCACTCTGTTGGAACACTATTCAAAGTCACTACTAGTGGCAAGCGACTTTACAAGTAGTATGCATTAATCGTTTAACATTTCCTGTTAAAGCTAATTATTGTTGCAATATTAATTGTTCAGGATAACCGCTGATTGTTAATGTTCGCAGGTCAAACTTTGGATAAAAAAGGTTCCAACTTAGGGTGCTGGGTTGAATGTGACTTGGTCTTTTTTTCCCAGATTCGCAAAATCACACTTTTCGATTCTCCTGCATTTTATTTACAAAGAAGGTGCAACTTATGCAAGCATATAACCAGTTTTGTGTGTTCGTGAAAGCGTGATAAATTGCTCGCATTTCCACCTTCTGTCTGTACAAAAGGCAGCCACAACATAGGTTGCAAATCAATTCTCTCGCGTAGTTAAGATTTCATCAAATAAAATAATTTGACAGGTATCAGATTTGACATCATTTTTTCACTAATGGCCCTACTGAAGACTAATTTTCTCAGACGTGCTGCTATTGTCTAACTGAACTCAAATCCCCACCGAACTGACCAATGGTAATTGTCCGACGGGAGGCGACTGTGCTATACAACGAGGCAGTAGAGCTTAAAATTATTTACTGCGCTATGATTGCGAAGTCGAAAGGACTAACTTTTAAACAGGTTGTTTGAATATCTCATTTCAACTACTAAATAACTAAGTTACCGACGATCCAATTCCCATTCTAACCACACTCCCTTCCTAAAAGGCAACTGGACGCCAAATACGTTGGCCTGGTTTATTGCCTGTTTGCGTTTCCTTTGGCAGATTATTTTTTGACTGGCAAGTTTAAAAAGAGTCTTGATGGCCGTTGCAGCCACCACTGATGCCACTTCTTGCAAAGTTTTACTGGTACGCAGATGTGCAACTCCAAGCACAAATAATCGGTCCCATTTTTTAACATTTTGTAGTGGACTGACAGCCGCCCCGCGCGAGTGTGCGTGCACGAAGGCCCGTGTGTAGCGATGACTCATCCCCTTTTGTTATTGATTTTTGTCAGCATTCGCCTGTTACGCACGCGTGCTCACACGCACACAAAGCCACTTGGCTGGTTCGACTCTAATAAACGGTCCTGTTCTCTGTCCCCTCCTTTTTCCTATCCTCGGGTAGCTACGGGCTCTTAACTAGAGGGTTGTAAGGTAGTGCTAAATCCTCTAGTCACTACATTTGGTGACCCCGACGTGATGAAATCCGGCTACT